GCCATGTCCAGCTGGGCGTTGAGCTCGAAGCACCGTGAGGCTGCCGTCCATGTGCGCGTTGAACCGGGGAGTCCACAGACCAGCTTGGATAGCAAGGGAGGACATGTGCCAGAGGAATGCCCACAAGGACTAAGCGGCGAGTTGGGGACTCACTGAGGAGGGGGCCCACAACTAACGCAGTCGACCAAGAATGACCCATCATCCGGCTCCTTGACAACAAGAAGATCGACAAACAGCCAGAAGTACATGAAGTTGACCCGGCTGGCCAACGAGAGTGTTGACAATCGCGCATGAGGCGACTCATGGGCAGGGCAGCGACCGAGGCCTTTTTCAATGGTTGGAGGCAAGCGACGGCTTGAAGCGTGCCAGCTCACGCGGACGATAGCTGAGGTTGGAATTGGTGGTCGTTCTACGAGCCACCAGTGAGCTTGTCGTGGTTTTCGCCTGCTGTGCTGGTGGCAGTGGAACGGTCCGACAGCTTTTGGCCACCCCGCCGAGGCAATCAATGTCCAAGCCTTCTTGGCACCTCATACATCAGACACCTTCACATGGCCTCTCTTTGGCTGTGATGCTCATCTGGGTCATGTCCAGCTGGGCGTTGAGCTCGAAGCACCGTGAGTCTGGTCTGTCTACTTGCCGTCCTGACTCTCCTCCAGGCTGCCGTCTGCGCTCGGCCATGCGGGGGTGGAGGCGCGTCGAACGGGGACGTAGTCCCGGTCCCGAACTCCTGCTCAAAATCATTTATCGGAGTGACATAGTGACCTCCTCTTGATTGTCCAAGACCGCTTGAGGACATGTACCAGGACGAGCACCACGTCCAGTAGAGCCGCGAACTTGCTCTGAATGACTTGACCATCCCCAAACCGAAATTGCTCTTTCTCAGGGACCACCTTGAAGAATCAGTTGTTCACAATTCGGTTGGTCTGTGTAGGTCCCCAAGTCCACCATCGTCTTCGAATGTTCCTGACCGGCCAACTTGTCAAGGGCCCAAAAAATGCAGAGCCCAGTCTTCATGCTGTGGATGTGACGAGGGAAAAGTCACACTAGGCTTCTTCTTGATCTCACGCACCCTGTTTCTGTAATCGTGCACGTTGCTGACGGAGTGGCCGTCGCGAGTGCCTTACTTGGCATGCCATTGAGTTCGGTCAAGTCGTCGGCTCCCAAACTCTCACCATCTTCTTCATCTTCCAAGATGGCCACCAAAGCATCCAGCATCCAGCCGGCGGAACCGCCACCCCGCGCCCGTGGAAAAGGGCTGCTCACCCATTTCCAGCATAGCCGAAATTACCTTGGTCTCATCTTCCACATCACCACCGCAAGCTGCCTAGCTTGGCGCTATCAAGCAAATGGCCCACATACAAGTCAGCTAGGCTGGTCAGGCCTCGTTCTCGCGCCGGTATATCTCCCCGCGATTGATGAAACTCTCAACACTCTCATTGTTGGCTGGCGGCTTCTTGACCGCATATGTCGTGGGCCCCCTCATTGCCACCGGTAGTGACCTGCCTTCCAAGCCCAGCTAAAAAAAAAATCACTGTCCTCCAATACTGTTCCCAACTTTTGCCTGGCCGGGCAAAGAAAGTCGGTGGACCCGTTGGGCCAGCAGCTGCGCCAGCCAATCGCAATGGAATGGCTCTCAAGAAGCTGATAGTGGGAGCAGCTGGTCATGGTTTTGGGAGTCCGGCTGGCACGGACCAAATCATTGGGGCTGGCAAGGTGAGCCACCAGAAATTGGGAGACTGACTTGGAAAGGTCGAGCACATCAGAACAGCCCAAGAGGAATACGCGCCACATGCTGGAGGAGCTCCCTCCACTCCCGATCCGACTCCCCATCCGTCAGAGGAGAAAGTGTCTGTGAAGCGCTCATCGAAGAGCTCGGAGAAGACCAGTTGTCACACTTGGGCTCCTGTCAGGGAAACTGGGGAGCCCAGAGGTTTAAGCTGTCACCGTCCATGTGCGACTCATCCCCTTCCACTGTCCCAGCGCTCCTGTTCTCGCTCGCTGTCCACCAGGATCGCGGGGTCCCCGACTCGCCTGGCTCTCTCCTTGGCTCGTCATCCTCAGGCTGCGATGTAGTCCACGACATGACAATGTAGGAGCACCGGCAGCGCAGCTCCTCTGCCAAAGGTGACGAGCTCGCCTCCTCTTGCGTCACGGCGCCCAGGGCAGAATCAACCCCCCTGGCTCAAGCCTAGCCACTACGGCCACCCACAGCCCCCTACGGGCTACTCCTTTTTCATGCCACGCTGCCTTGGGCCGTGACAGGCTCCGAAGTCACAGTTAGGAGCGAGGTGTTGAAAGCATTCGCAAAATCCAATGTTTGGGTTGTTACGGTTGGCATGGAGCCAGTGCCGGGAACAGTGCACGCTTCAGGTCAGAATCACGCGGGCATTTTCCTCCTGCTGTAAGGTCAGCGACAGGATTGTTGAAGCCGCTCAGCCAAAGCCGAGGCACTCTCACCAGCGTGGCCGGCCACGGCACGAGCAACTTGTGTCCAGGTTGCGGGGGCTGGCAGTGCTGGCGCTGAGCACGGGCACGTTGGCATTTTCGTGGTGTTCTGCACACAGCTCAAGAAACGCTCTCAAAACTTTTCAATACTGCGTTGCTCACGCCGTGCAAGGTCGTTTCTCCCATGTCAGGGGCAGCCCAAATGACCGGAGTTGCTCAATGCCCTGCAAGCAGCGAAGTTTCTTATGCACAGCTCAAGCCAAAGAGAACGCGCTAAATGAGAGATTCCCAACCCTCCCGACATTTGCTAGAACACTGTAGCTTCCAAAAACATAGCCCAGTGGCAAAAAACCACACAGCTAAATCTCCTCAATCGCAAGAATCGGAAAACTTAGAACTTTACAATCTACCTTGATGTTTTTGTTGTCAATGACGCTCTGCGCGTTGCGCACTAAGCGCAACAACGTGCACATGACACAACTGCTTGTCCGTTTTGATGTCTTTGCGAACTTTGTAGCGGCGCCTGCAGTTTAGAATCGTGCACTTGGACGGCTCATTGCAACTCGAAAACTGTTTGGGATTAACTTTTCCAAGGCCGCTGCGTTCCCACACCCGCAAGGGTGGCCAGGCGCAGGATCTTTTCAACAGACCACCCTGAAGTTTGTCCTGAGTAGGCTCACCTGGAGAAATGAGTGTGCAGGGCAACTACCGGCCGTGAACGCCTCAGCAGGGCAGAAATTGCAAGTGGGTCGTGGATTGACAACTGCCGTTTGGTCAATTGTGAGGCCAGCTACGCGCACTAGCTACTCACAGGTCGGCAAGTGGAATTGGTGTTGACACTCACACAAAGCCAGTCAGTCTTCCATTACAAGGACCAACATGTCGCGAACTAGAGACCCAAGACCCTATTCATGTGCGCCTACATGCCAGAACAGCTTCGACCAATTTCACACTGCACATGGTTTTGTTCCATCAAACCAGCTTGGAAGACCAATCCAATCCCAAACTGCAGTGCTTTACAGGCTGGAGGCCTTTCCTTGAATCACCGTTATGCCGGAGGCCAGATTCTGAAGCGTCATGTGTGCCGCGAGGTCGATGGGCAGCAACAGCATGAGCGTTTTACAGAGTGTATGTCATTCTTGGTTTGTAGGTTCTGCCTACCCGTGCAAAACTCAGAATTGAACGCCGTCACCACAACAGATACAAATGAGTTTTGTGGGTCAACAACAGAGCGGTGGACTTGTACAGGTTTCAACCCAAACTTTAATACAGCGAACTGGACAGCAATGGCCTCCAACCCATGTTTTTGACATGGCTCTTCAAGCGCCTGAGGTATGGGAACCTGCCTGGCCGAGATCCGCAGGTTCATACCTTGCAATCTCTCTCCTGAGAACCTGGGGCCAGGCCGTTTCCAACATTTCCCGTGTCACACTGGAAGAGCCATAAGATGAGGTGGTGCTTGCTCGCTTGGATTGTAGGTTTTGGGGTTGAAACAGCCAACAAAGCAAGGTGGACAATTGGTGCAGTAGTTTGCAGTGCGAACTCAACGATGTTGAAAAAATGCGGACATTTTCAATGGTCAAGATGGACCCGTAGCTCAGGTTTGTTTCAACATTCTGGAAAGAAGCAGACGCATACAATGTCAGAGACCCACTCACAGATTCCACATTGATTAAACACTGACTGCTTGTCTATCGAGCACCAACAATGCTTGATATCCAGCTTGATGAGCGTGCGTCGCCACACCTGGTGACAGGGCCTTCTGCCAGCATGTGTTGCCGGCAAGCAGACGTGCTAATGTCCCTTTAGAAGCACTTGCCGTTGCAGGTCTGGACCCCGTAGGGAGCAATAGTGGAAAAAAAGTGTGGCCCGAGCTTTGCTGTCATTTGTGGGCGTGGATTAAATTCGATCGCGTTTTGAGACACTGTTTGGAGGGACAGGGTTTAGCTTGGGTTGGTAGTTTTTTAGGGGGCTTACCAGCCTTGATATTTTCGAGGGCAGCGTTTCTTTTTTGATCCGGGCATCTGTATCGAAAGCCCGAGGATTCGCTTCTTTCTCCATCGGACTTACGATTTTTCTTTTGTGGCGGTCAGGAGGGGATTGTGCAAGAGGAGCTGGTGGAACACTTGCACTAGTCACAGGACATCTCTCTAAAATCCCCGCATTAGTGTTCGGTCTAATCTCATACTTCTGAGATGCTTCTAGCCAGGGTGTTGTGCATGCGACCTGATGAAACCAATTATTGCTCTGCCCATTGCTTGGAGACAACCATTGCCATGTTCTTGCTGATGAAGCTCTGTCTGCTGCTGTCTTGAGCTCCAAGTAGGCCCCCTGCTCCGCATCTCGTGCTGGGCACCCAGCTTCCTGTTCCGGCGGCGAGCAGATGTTCTTGGTTACATGATATATGTGGAAATTGATTGGGAACGCAGTTGGCACAAAAACTACCAAAGCCGAACGCCAGCTGCTTGTGCTCGAGGCTGCTGCCGCTTCTCAATCTCCGAAAGTGGAGACCTGTCCATAGTTCATTTTGGTTCAACTTCTCGAGTTTCTTCGGGATGGATGTGTGGGTATTGTTCATGACCCTAGCGCTTCTTTGCGGTTCGCTCCACTTGCGACTCACCCAGAGCGATTGGGTGACGTTGCGTCGATGGATTGCATCTGTCATAGAGCCTGAGGTGTGAGTCTGCAGGGCCTTTTTGGCGTTTGAAATATAACGCATTAAACATGCAATTGGATTTCTTAAGGATGGGGCATGGGACATTGGGTGAGTGATTGGGCGTCAGGACTGACTCCGCGACACTCAATGTCATGTTAAGTCCAACTAGCTCCCTCAAGTGAGATGCAACCTAGCCGTTTTTGAGGGGCAGAATCTACTCCCAAGTCCACTTCATTTCAACTTCCTGAAATGGCTTTCATTTGAAGTGCTCTCGTGCAGGTGCTGGATGCGCTGAAGGAAGCGCGTGTGAAGGAGGAGATGGTGAAGCTTCGCCAAAGGCATTGCAGGTTGCTCAATCGCTGCTTCTCTCACATTGTATTTGTGACCAGTCTTGGCTTGCTTCACCAAGCTCTCACGGCACCTGGGCTCGACGCAATTACTTGGGCCAGTGTCGCAGTCATCTCTTATTTTCCATTGGCGATCGTCGGGGAGGACTCAGTGTGTGTTTCTTGTCGAAAAGACACAGTAGCAACTAGTGGCTGGATGTGGGTGGCAACCGGCCACTCAGTTATCTAAAAAATGTGGGGATTGTGAGTCCCAAAGCACTCAATCATCCAAAAGTTTTTCTTCTACTTAGAGGCCCTGAAGAAACTTTCAAGGTAGTATCTGTGTTTGAGACTGCTAGGTGGTAGGTGGTCTTGACCTGTTTGACTTGCAGCTTGGCCCAAGCATCGCACTTGCAGCGTTGAGTGAAAAAGATTTGCTCGCTGCGCAACTTTTCGCTTTTGCGCGTGTGACGCGCTAGCTACCACTTGCTACTCTGCATTGGTAGCGGAGCGGTTCGCTCCAGCGACCGCTCAAGGCCATGGCAGATGGCCTGGAGGTCCCAGACTGGGGATCCTCCGAGGAGGGTGAAGCTCACCCGGATGGCAGCGACCATCAAGCCACGAGCCGAGGCAGGACCCAGAGCAGAGCTCATAAGGGATCCGATGAGGCACCGCCTCCGAAGGGCAAGAACAAAGGCAGCGAGACAAGGGCGGCTCCAACTATAAGGGTGGTTCCCACAAGGGCAAGTCCAAGGGCGGCAGCTCCAAAGGAAGCGCTGCATCAGGCAGCTTGGACTGTGATTGGGACGCTGGCGGCTCACCGGTCACTCCCGCACTCGACGACGCTGCCGCCGCTGTTCTGCCTTGGCCTTTTTGGCCTTGGTTTGGGGTGACATGTATAGCCACCGCTGCGGCGCCCTGCCCGTGTCATCTTCTCTTCGTCATAGTCCGGGACACGGTCAGCTGCTGCTCCCGCAACTTCTTTCTTCAAGGCTTTATACAAGACTTGCTTCTCCACCGATGACATGCGCGGGCAACACTTGGAGAACCTCTTTTGGGCTCAGGTCCAGCTCCATTGGCCTGGCTTCAGGCGCACACTTCTTCGGCTCGTCCTTGGACTTCCGAAGCCGTCTCTCTTCCTCTGCCGATTTGTACTCCTTCTTCCTGAGCCTCTGCTGTGTCTCTTCATCCTCCTCCTCAGCAATCAGTGCCTCCAGCACCGTTTTGAGAGCCACGCGGTGCTTCTTGAGCTTTTCGGCCTTCTCTTCTCAGGTGTGAGAGGGCCTGCTGAGAAAGGCAGGATGTCTTGTGGCTCAGCTTCTTCTTCCTCCTCTTGAGCCACATAGGCCTCAAAGAGCCAGCCATCGGCTGAGAACAGCAAGGTCCAGTTCACCCTCTGATGAAGCGTATGCTTCCTTCAAGTCATCAACATCGGCCAGATCTTCTTCTTCGTCCTCCTCCACAAAAACTCTTCCCACAAAGGATCTCCTGCTCCAGGTCCTCTTCATCGGCATTGTCCTCCACATCCTCATAGGAATAAGGCTCATCTTGCGTATTGGGCTCGACTGGCTCAGCCAGATGGGATGAATGCTGGCTTGACCTGTAGGGCTTGCGATCACCTCGGCGGGGCTGGTGCTTCTTGCGAGGGATGGGGGCGCGGCCCTTCTCCTTCTTCGCCTCCATGTGCAAGTTGCTGCATCGGAACCGCATCACCTGCTCGATCTTGGCGCTGTTGCGCTTGCCAACTTGAGAAGAAGATGTCCATCCGCTCACGGCGGGTCAGCGCCGCCCGGGACAGAAGCCTCTGAGCGAAGGACTTGTCACTGATCGTGGTCTCCTTGTCCTCCTCCCTGAGGTATTCGCCACAGAGCCGCTTCAAAGTGGAGATATGCTGCAATGCTCTGGCCGGGTGCCCGCCTGTAGGCCAGGCACCAAAGGCATCCTGAAGGCGCATGACGCGCCCCAAGCCGCCCGGCTCTTGCATCTCATTGACCTTCAGCTGATTGAGGATCTGGCGGGGCTCTCCCTGGCACCTGACGTAGATGAGCATGGCCAGCTTGTGCAGGTTGCGCTGTGCCTCAATGATGCGCTTCCAATCACGGTAGTGCGACCTGCTCCCGCGAAAGGTCTCAGTGCGCACCTGTGACAGCGAGGGGTTTGAGCGATCACCAGGCCTGCGCTCCTTCTGCAAGAGCATCTCACGGATCTCCGACGTCCTGGCCGCTGAGCTTGTTTCAAACCCTTGGTCCCTCCTCCGGCGTCTGCGAGCCAGCGTTGCCTCAACCTTTGCGGCCGGTCGGGCATCAGCGGGATCTGGCTGCCTCGGTCAGGCCTTGGCCTTCACTTTTGCCTTGGCTGCCCCAATGTTGAGGCACTCCGATCGCTTGGCTCCACGACCGGGTCATTGGTTGGCCTCGACTCCTCCTCCTCATCTTCTCGATAAGAGGAATCATACTCGTCTTCATCGGACTTATTGCTATCCCTGGTGGCGGATCCACACGCATGCTGTTTCTTCTTTGGCTGTACCTTTCAGGCTGGCGTCGAGCCACCCAGATTGGGCTTTGGCCTTCGGTGCAGCATCACCTCCAGGGTAGGATATGACATTGGCTGTTGCATCTGCTGGAACTGCATCTGTTGTTGCCATTGCTCACCTTTCTGATGGCGATCGCGCTCCTCACCTTTCCTGGATGCTGATCGCCCCTTCTCACGTCCCTTGGAGCTTGCAAGAATTCCGCATTGGGTTGTACCAGACCAGCTTGGACCGGCGTGGACAAGTTCGACCATCAGATGCCTCTGACGTTCCGACGGCAGAGCAAGCGGCGTGCCCTCACCCTTAGAATGACCTGCGGTGGGGAGGAAACCGAGCAGGTTGTTGGGCTACGTGCCGCAAGCGCCACACGCGGAAGGTCCTGTACTACAGTATATGGAGCACTCCCATGCAGGTCATCCTTGACACAGGATGCCGAACAGCAGTCGCGGGAGCCATTTGGCATCGCAACTTCCAGGAGAAGCTGAATCAACGCCAGCTCCCATACTTCCCGGTCAAGCGCCAGGAGACCTTTCGCTTCGGAGCAGGGGAGCCGGTCATCTCGACCACGGCATACGCGTACCCCCATTCGCTGGCTCCGGTTGGCGTGTGCGCAACGCAGCCTCCGACTGTCGGGTGGAGCGGTGTCCAGCCTTAGTTGGCCCAAGTGAGATGGCCAGGTGGCATGTCTCCATGAACTTCAGATTCAGTGCAGGTGTGACGGAGATCGCTGGCCACGTGGCGGAGACCCAGCTGTCCAACACCAGGCGCCCAGTTCTTCACGTGCTTCCGGTCCGGTGGAAGCCTGGTTGACACCAGAACTGCAGCAACTGAAGGAGACATTGCTCAAGGACCCCTACAGCTTGGCGCGGAGCTGGCAGCCCCGGAAGAGGCTGATGCGACCACCAAAGGCCGTCAGCCGATCGCGACTCTTCATCTTGATTGGGGAGGATCCAATGGACGCCTTCGTGGTGGATGAAGACGAAGGCGAAGTGACAGCAGCTCCCCGGCGGAAGGTCGCCTTTTACTGGAAGGGGATGACCATGCTGTACAAGAAGCGCGGGCGAGGTCCGCAAAGCCTGTCTGAGTGCCAAGGGCAGGCAGGAGTTTGAAAAGCTATGGATGGAGGAGCTGAAGCGTGTTCTGGTGAATGAGGTGATGCTCCTCAAGCTGAAGCAGAATGGCAAGGAGTTGGATCCGCGCTGGTTCAATGAGCAGGAGAAGGCTTTTGATTTCAGTGATGCGAAGGAGTGGGAGCAGTGGCTCCGCTCCGCATGGTGAGGACCAACAAGGCGGTGGCAGCGACCCTGCCACTTGTGGCCAAGTCCCGACTGGTTGTGCCTGGCCATCGGGTGGCTTCAGGACTGACGCTCCGACTGTGGGAGCCACGGCCACCAAGATCGCCAAGGCGATCGCCCAGTCAAGGGGATGGGCAATCTGGTCGTTTGATGTCACGACCGCGTTCTTGACTGGGGAACGCACGGATCGACAGATCCACGTGAGGGTCCCACCAAAGGGTCTGCCAAAGAAAGCAGATGGAGGCGGTGACAGGTGGGCAGCTCTTCGGTGTCTTGAAGTCGGCATGTGGCGTGACGGAAGCGCCCCGCTTCTGGTATCTCAAGGCTTGCAAGCTGCTGGCCGAGACCCCGCTGAAGGAGTTGGACATCGCCAAGGCAATGTTCACAGCATGGGATGAGCGTGGCACTTGGGCCATCCTGTGTTTGCGCGTGGACGATGGCCTGGTGGGATCGAAGTTCCGGCAGCTCATCATGAGATTGAGGTGGCCGGCCCAACAAGTGATGCCCCACCTCCTCTATGAGATCAGCCGGCTGGCGCGGCGACTTCCAAGATGCCGTGAAGGCTTACAAGCTCATGATCCAGGAGAAGGATGCTGGGAGAGCCGTCCTGAAGCATCCGAAGACCCCTGAAAAGACGTTCTTTGACGCGTCTAGGCAAGGAAAAGGACGGCAAGTCCCAGTTGGGACAGATCCATTTCATCGCCAACACAGGTGTTGAGCACGGGCCCCAGATGGCAGCGGTGATCGACTTTGCGAGCTCCAGGTCGACCCGCGTGGTCCGCTCTCGGCATCAATGTCCCAAGCCATTGACCGGCGCCTATGCTCGGTTGCTGACCCAGATGCTGCAGAAGGGCAGCTTTAAGCAAAGGTCCTGATGGTCCAAGGCTACATGGTGACAGATGCCCGGTCGCTTTACGACCACCTCACGACCACCGGCCAGGTGCCGCCCGAGAGGCAAACAACGTTAGACTTAATGGTCACACGTGAGATGCTGGAGGCGAGTACCTTTCACCTCCGATGGGTGCCAACCTATCGGCAATATGCCGACGGCCTCACGAAGAGAACGAGCAACCCGCTATGGGCCGAGTTCTCCAGCAAAGGGCCACTGTCCCTGAAGGAGACTGCTGAAGAAGCCACCCTGGAACAGCGCCGGCGTGATCTTCGCAGAGCCCAGCGGGAGCGGCGCAAGAAGCGCTTTGAGGACGGCGGAGCCGCCCAGTCACGCCAAGCCCAACAGGTCAACACACCCTTCTTGGGATGTGTTTGAGACTGCTAGGTTGCAGCTTGGCCCAAGCATCGCACTTGCAGCGTTGAGTGAAAAAGATTTGCTCGCTGGGCGACTTTTCGCTTTTGCGCGTGTGACGCGCTAGCTACCACTTGCTACTCCGCAGTATCCACTTTGCATATATGTTTCTGGATGTTTGGCCAGTCGTTTCTCTCAACCTTTGCAGGACTCGTTGAGTGTGACTCCCACGCAACTCAAACTGATCACCTGGTTCATGCACTTTCTGCAGCTGCCGCTCATTCTAACTTCCGGAGCCTCTGGAAGCCCTTTTGCTTTCGCAGTGAGGCAAGGCCTGGTGACGGTAAGCAGCTTTTCCTTGGGCATTCTTTTTCTAGATCCTTGGGTCTCCATTCCTTTTCAGCTGGTGCATTCTGCTGCAGAATTTGCAGTTCATCTTTCTTATTTTGAGATGCACCGTGTGCACATGGGGCTACTACTAATTGCCCAATTCTTCACCTTCGCAATCCACATCGCATGCATGGCATTCATTGACGTTGTGTTGCGACAGCGCATCAATGCCCAATTGGAAACTGCTGACGCGGAGTCCTTGGTATCCAGTTTCCGAAGGATGCTGCGAGGTGTTTGTGATGGCGAGGTGCTTCTAGATGGCCAGATGAATGTGGCACAGGAGAGTGAAGGTTTGAGGTATTTGATTCTCACCACAGTGAACTTGAAGGGCAGGTCATTTGAGCGATTGCTGATTGATGAGGAATGCACTCGTTTCACCAGGTTCATCCAATCATCCACTGAGGCATTTCTCACACCGAAGCCGGCGGTACCACCCGGTTGCTTGCGGACTTCTTTGCGAGGATCTGCTGGTATCAGGGTTGCTGCGGATGTTTTTCATGTGCCCATTCCAGGTCTTTTTGGGGCTGCGGAGCCATATCATCTCCTGGCTTTCAAAGAGGACACGGAGTCTCGAGCTCATCCAGAAGCAAATGAAGATTCAGTTCCTGCCGAACTTTTGAGCAGACAGCCGCGTCAAGCTCATCGGCCGGGTTCTAGGCCTGGCTCCACTTCGATGCTTTCTGGAAGCACAGGCAAAAGTTCATTTCAAGGATTTTCCGAGCTGAAGGAGATGACGTTACTGGTGGATGCGGGAACAGATCTTCAGGATGTGGAGCAGGCACACTTGAGGTTCATTCGCCAGGAAGTCTCGGATGCTTCTTCAGCCTTGCATTCTGGCATGCCCAGCTTGCGCAGGTTGGTCAAACCTTTGATGTGGGAGAAGTTCCAGCGCAGAGTGGTGAGATTCGCGGAGAGGTCTTCGCGTGATCCATTGACTCCACCCAAAGGCCTGGAGGGGCTCACGCTGCAGTGGCCCGGTCAAGATGGGTGGTTGGTGGCAGACGATGCCTCCTTGAAGCCCTTTCCCGGTGCATCGAATGAGCGGAAGGTTTGGCTGCACTTGCAGGGTCTCCATCCAGAGAAGCAACACCTGCGCGCAGAGCCGGTCTTGCACGGCATTCCAGAAAGACAAACAGCGGGCCCTAGAAAACCGCAGCCACTGACGTGATTTGGGGTTCAGCCGGAAAATGGAGCGGCGGATCAAAGTTGCTGGTTGTTTTTGTCAAGGGGACGCGCTCCTGCATTGCATGCTCTCGCATGTTCTTTCTTTGAGATGAGGTGGAATCATGTAGAAAAAAGATAGAAGGGTTGTTTTCTTGAAAGAATTTCCAGCCTTAAACTTGCAAGCTGTTGGGACTTTGGCGTGTGAGAATCCACACTTTGCAGCCCGGGCCCACACAGACGGGAAAAGAGGGCAGTTGATGTAGCCGCGCCCATTTCCACAGAGACTCGTGCGTAGTGTAAAAGAAGACAGAGATGTCATGTGCAGCTCCATACACACGTGCGCCTCAGCGTGTGCTCTTCTTCATCATCAGTTTTGGTCCAACAGAATGCTCTGAGCTTACGTACATGCAAGCTTCGCACATATGGTTTGGAATTGCGAGCCACACTTTAAAGAACTTTCGCCATGGATGTCTGGGTGGTGTTGATCACCACGGTGCTTGTGTGGGGTTCGCTCCACCTGCGGTTCACACGGAAGGACTGGGCGAACTTGCGCAGATGGGCATCCATGGAGCGTCAGGTGGGTTCACAAGCCATCCATGGCACTCCACTTGGGGTAAGAGCGTATGAATCTGGGAGTTTTCGGGTGGTGTGATGAACTTGATGGCTTGTGTTTTGCATGGGGATGAGCTTGATCGTTCCAAAAGGTGTCACTTTGATGTGCTCCCGACGAGTTAACAGTTACGTTTTTGGATTGTCCAACTTCACTGCAGGTAGTGGATGCGCTCAAGGAAGCGCGGGTGAAGGAGGAGATGGTGAAGCTTCGCCAAAGGCATTGCAGGTTGCTCAATCGCTGCTTCTCTCACATCGTATTTGTGACAAGTCTTGGCTTGCTTCACCAAGCTCTGACGGCACCTGGGCTCGACACAATTACTTGGGCCAGTGTGGGCATCATCTCATATCTTCCGATGGCGGTGGTCGGGCAGGACTGTACATTTCTTGTAGTGGCATCGGAATGGCATCTAACACATCTAGGGATGATATCAATTTCCGACGGCTGGGGCCAAGTTGAACTGGCAAAAGCCCACGAGTGCTGCGTCCCGAAGGCGTCACTTTTAGGGTTTCATCCACTCTCCAGTTGTTTCTCTCAACCTTTGCAGGACTCGTTGAGTGTGACTCCTGCACAGCTAAAGCTGATTACCTGGTTCTTACATTTTCTGCAGCTGCCGCTCATTGCCTCTTCTATATGCTCTGCAACTGCCTTTGATTTCGCGGTGAGGCAAGGCCTGCAAACGGTAAGTCGTTTTGGCTTGGGCATTCTTTTTCTAGATCCTTGGGTCTCCATTCCTTTTCAGCTGGTGCATTCTGCTGCAGAATTTGCTGTTCATCTTTCTTATTTTGAGATGAACCGCGTGCACATGGGGCTACTACTAATTGCCCAATTCTTCACCTTCGCAATCCACATCGCATGCATGGCATTCATTGACGTTGTGTTGCGACAGCGCATCAATGCCCAATTGGAAACTGCTGACGCGGAGTCCTTGGTATCCAGTTTCCGAAGGATGCTGCGAAGCGTGTGTGATGGCGAGGTGCTTCTGGATGGCCAGATGAATGTGGCACAGGAGAGTGAAGGTTTGAAGCATTTGATTCTCACCACAGTGAACTTGAAGGGCAGGTCATTTGAGCGATTGCTGATTGATGAGGAATGCACTCGTTTCACCAAGTTTATCCAATCATCCACTGAGGCATTTCTCACACCGAAGCCGGCGGTACCACCCGTTTGCTTGCGGACTTCTTTGCGAGGATCTGCTGGTATCAGGGTTGCTGCGGATGTTTTTCATGTGCCCATTCCAGGTCTTTTTGGGGCTGCGGAGCCATATCATCTCCTGGCTTTCAAAGAGGACACGGAGTCTCGAGCTCATCCAGAAGCAAATGAAGATTCAGTTCCTGCCGAACTTTTGAGCAGACAGCCGCGTCAAGCTCATCGGCCGGGTTCTAGGCCTGGCTCCACTTCGATGCTTTCTGGAAGCACAGGCAGAAGTTCATGTCATGGTTTTCCTGGGCTCGACGAGGTGTTCTTGCTGATCGATGTGGATTCGCAACTTCAAGAGGTCACTCAGGTGGAGCTGAACTTTAAGCGCGATCGATGCGCAGCTTCGATGCCCAGCTTGGGCAAGTTGGTGAGGCCCAGTGAATGGGAGAAGGTCCGCTCGAGCGTGGCACGCTTCGCTGAGAAATCCTCGCGTGATCAGTCTGATCACCCGAAGGTGTTGAAGCGTCTCACTCTGCAGGTGCACGGCGGAGCTTCTTTTGGATGTTGTCGTCATGGAAACATACGAGATGAAACACTGGTTATCATAAGGCTGTCGGTCAAAACTGGGACACCCTGGTTGACCGAACACAAACAGTCAAGACGGTCAGACGGTCAAGCTTGGGCTAACATGTTAATGCTTGTATTAATTGTGTTTATGAATCCACGATCTCCACGCTAGCGGCAGATCGTAGACAAGGTTGAAAGGAAGCCACTTGCCGTCCGAGACTGCGGACCTCACACAAGAAGCTACTATATAGTAACAAGGTGCATCGCCGCTAGCAACAAGTGCATCGCTACTACTAACAAGAAGCGACCAGTAGCAAGGTGCCTTACCAGTCACACCACCTGAAAACACCACCTTCGCCGTCTAGACGTGACGAGGTGCCGGGGCAGAGTGGATGGATGCTGGTGGACGAGGCCACGTTGCATCGGAGTCAGCAGCCTTGGAAGCTTTGGATGCATTTGCATGGCTTTCATCCTCGGTGAGATCTCCTGCACCACGGTGGTTCTTGCGCTTGGTGTGCGGAGTACCAAAAAGGATGAGAAGGAAGGGAGGGAGTTTTGTGCGAAGTGGAGCTGACTGAGATAGAGGACTACTTTGCAGCCGGGTGTCAAGAATCAGTACTTTGAGGATTGCATCTCAGGCAGATGCATCCACCCCATCTCCATGCACTTGGAGGTTTTGGTCTTGTTTCTCACATTGGTAGCCCTGACTCCTGGGGAGTTGGGGGTCGTTTTGGGTGTTCAGAAAGCTCAAGCGACAGCCTGCTCCAAGCCTAGGAGGATCATGGCGGCTGGGGCCCTCAGGGCCACCCGCGCTGTCGTGGTTTGAGGTGGGAGAGGTGTCACCATCGTGGCTTCCGAAGGCAACATCACGATTGTTTCACAATGTTTGACCCCAAGACCACTACGGTAGTGGTCGGGCCCAAAGATGTGAAGAATCAGTTCTTTTTTTCATTCAATTGCAATGCTCAAGCTGCAGAACACATCTTCTCGACAAGTTTCCTCCTCGCTTTTTCTTGGAAACAGCCCTGCAGATCGGTCAACCTTCGGATCAGCCGGCATCTTTGGGGGGAATTCTTCGGCGCGGTGAACAAAGCACAAAGGACCGTGAAGTCAACCTTGTTGGGCAGATGTTACATGATTTTTACCAGAAGTTCCAGGTCCTGAGATCCTGCGAAATTGGAGTATCTTGGATGGATGCTCAGTCAACATCTCTCCTCGTCTCTGGTCTTCTTGGAAAATTGTGTGTTCAGTTTCCCAAGGATGTACGGGCTGCGGATGACCTCTATAGGAAGACCTTGCGCTTCTTGGTCTCTGTAGGGGAGCCTAACAGTGGGGGACGACGGATGTGGCGCGCCCAGGCAAGCTGGGCTAAAGAGAAGGAAGACTAATGATTAATGACTCCTCAAAAACAGAGACAAGGATAAAAAGGGTGCCTCTGAAGCAACACTCCCCGAACTAATCATGGAAGTGGAAACATGGTCGCTTGATGAGCATTTTCCGCACACCAAACAGGCGGTTTTCACTCCGCTTCCATGTCAGTGACTCGGGGTACTTGGGGTGTAAGAGTTCTAAAGCTCCATGGGGTTGCACAGGCTTCATTATTCACTTGGGTTTGGTGTTGAGGGCTGACTTGGAGGCTTTTCTGAGAAGTCACCCTCCAACTTCAATTAATCACAGATGTTCATTAGCCTTGGGGAACTTCTTCCCAACTTTCTCCCAGCTTTCAGGAGCCCGTCGAGTGGCGATATTGCTGAAGTCTTGTCTTGCTCGTTTGCCAGGTGGCTGCGGAACTGGTCTATCCCAACTACCAACTGCGTGGAGGTCGGACACTCGGACACTCCACCCGCCGGACACCGCAGTAGCGCCGTACTGCTCGAGTGGTTCACCCGTTGCCGCGCTCGTTGGGGCGTGGAGCTTCGCCAAACCAATGGTGTGCGTGGGGGGGTGAAGGCCGGAGCCGTTCTCGGCAGGACATACCTTGGGTGATGGCGCGGAATCTCAGACCAGACATATCGATATCAGGTATCAGACATCGATGGTTTCTTAACTTTTCAACTTCTCTTTCCCTGTAGAGATTCGATCATAAAACACTTTGCAAGAGTCATTTGGTCTCCAGTGACCAATCATGGAGCATACGAAGTGTGTTTTCGTTCCTGTCGAAACAGACGGGGGTTTCGATGAGCTTGGAAAGGGTTTAAAGCCTGCTTCGCATGTTTTGGATGAAAGTGCTTGCTCTTAGAGTCAACACCCTAACTTGGCTCTAACAGTTTAGAGTCAACACCCTAACTTTGCTCTAACATGGGTGACATGGGTTGACCAAGACTTTGCTTCTCTACCCACCTGGCTCTCCCGTTCCATAGTGATCTACCTTGTGCTCCCGGTGTTGATTCATCCTGCACTCCTGCAACTTTGTTCCGGGTATTTTTGTGATGGGCGATGGATCATTAGCGAACCCATGCGAAGTGTCTCTTGCAGTCTTCTGGCCTTGATGGTTTGCAACATGTGTGGGATTAGTTGTGGAGAACTGACCCACATGGTTTTGTTCTGGTTTGTTTATGCTTGTTGAGAGGGGTCCTCAATGGACTTTGGCATGTTCAAATCCATCTTCATCCATTTGGTATGTTCGCTTAAACATCAAGGCACGTGTTTGGGTTCCACCGACAGTGGTGGAATCATAGAGAATCCAGGAATGCGACGGCAAGCTCTATCAAGCCTTGGAATCTAATCTTTCGAACGCTCCTCCCATTTCCTACCTATAGACATAGATTTCCAAGCGGTTTCAGGCGACTCAAAAGAAGTTTCGACAAAAACAAATCCCGGAGCGACTCCAGGGGATGTTATATGATGCTATGGGAGAGGTGGATTCCAGAGCGCCCCTGAATCGCGCTCTGGCAACCAAGACTGCCGTGGCGCGCACGTAGAGTCCAAGACAGCCGCAACTGAGGCTTTCTCTATCAGCTGGAGGGTGGTGAAGACTCGGAGGCTGAGGCGGAGAGAGTTTTTAGATGTTCTTATGAAGGGTCTATGGCATCCGATGGCCCTATGTCATAGCCTATGCCCTATCAACTTGCTACATAATTAGGCATGTTTCTTCTTTAATGGTTGATTCTGTATGGTGTTCTTTGCGGATTTTGAGAGAATTCAGACTACCCCCGAATTCTGCGGGAGCCGGCGGCCCCACCTCGGCAGCCTCGGCAGCCTCGGCAGCCTCGGCAGCCTCGGCACGAACACGGACGAACACGATTCGGAGGTGGAGGCGATTCGCAAGAAGCTTACGGAGCTGGTGGACTCGGGCGAAACCATTTGCCGTGTCACCAAGCCCTGGAAGAAGGCGCCGAGGGACCGTCCGATGCGGCCGGGTCGAACGGCCGTCCGGACCGCGTCCGGGTTGGAAGGGCGAAAAGAAACCGCACGCTGTGAACGAGCGGTTTCTTTGATCACAGCGCATTCACTGAATCGTTTGGGAGAAAAGGGGTGGATAATAACAATGGCTTACCAATCTGCTTTGTAAGTTCAACCTTCTAGCTTGTACTGAGAGAAGCCCCATGAGGAAGTTTTTTCTCGCCTTGGGTAGCAGCTATCTTCTTTTTTGTCCTAATGAATATGTCATTGATTGGGCCTGACAGTCTGAGTGGGTGGGATTTATTGTTGCGGATGGGCTGGGTCCAAAGCGGAACTGTTCTGGGCACTACAGACATCGCCCACATGCCAACTGAGTTTGGTGGATGCATTCAAAGAACATGTGCGCGGTTCAGACGCATCCGGGACACTTGGAACCTTTAACCCAAGCCTTATAAATATAGCTTGCTTACTAGAGCCTTACACCAAAGGAAAGAACCAGACTTACAACATCTTTTCCTGACCTTTAACCCATTAGGTTCGAGGCCATCCCTCTTAGGTTGGAGGCCATTGCACAACAGGAAAAAAGAAAAACAGAAAGAACGAAGACTTGCGAGACCCTTCCAGACCTTCAACCAATACCTTGAGAGGTCTTCAGACTTCCAGGACCTTCAGCTCTTCCAAACCTCGAGAGTCCCCCCTGTCAGGCCATGAGCTACTTCACCGAGAGGCGTCTAGATGCCGCTTGTGCTTTGCTTACCAGTCGTGTGAAGACCGAGGCGCAAGCATGCAGGAGTAGTGCTTCCACGGTGATGAAGAGGATGTAGTTCCTTGTTTTGTTTTTTGCAGTTTTGCACAATTTAAGCAGTTTTGGAGGGAACAGCTTCCTGTAGTTGCCAAGCTTACATCATGGCATGTATGATGGTCTGCCCTTGTGCCCACAACCTCTGCAGGTGCAGTGTTATGAGTGCCAGAATGTTCTCCGATTGAACCTTTTCCCCTTGCACGAGAAGGCCTCTGCGTTGAAGGTGCCACCCGGGGTAGGTTTCGTGGGTTTTGTGGCCTCATGGTGGCAGCAGTGTGTGCTTGATGTTTTGGCTGATGGCAAGTGACTATCCTTTATGACGATACATATAGAGCCGAGCTCAATTAACATCAATTAACTAATTTTCTGCATGATTGTGCACGTGTATCATCCAGGACTGACGAAACTAACTGACCCCTTCGCTTTGGGTCAGGCTGGGACCTTCGCTTTGGTTCGTCGACCTGAGATGCCTGGATTCGCGGCTCGACAGGGCAAGGGTTGTGAGAATTGGGGGTCGCACCCTTGGCAAGCCAACAGGCGGCTAAAGGAAGCCCCTCCAAGTCACTGACATGGACGTGGGAAACCACCTGCTTGATGGTGTGTCAGGGGCCCATTTTCCGCTTCCATGTTAGTGAGTCAGAGTGTAATATAGGTTCAACAAGTTGGTAGGAAGGTAAGTTTTCAGACAAGGCAGGGTAAAAGACTCAAAGACTAAAGAGCTCTTTGTACTTTCTCCCATAGCCGTAGCAGCTGAATTTCTGATTGTTTGATGAACTCCTCATTACTCAAAAGACTCAGCACGCAAACCGCATTGAACCATGTCTTTTCAGATAGACGACCGATTGCATTCCCTGAAATAACAACTTTTTCTAAGCCTTTCCCAAATCTCTTATCCACCCTGTTATTTGTCGAGGGCGGTCAAACCATGGTTGATTTTTTGCATGAGGACCATGCAGGACCATGCAGTCTCTTGGAACCTGTTCTCAGGTGGCTGCCTACACCGGCGAATACAAGCTACAGCCATCACCTTAGCGATCGGATCGATCAGCTTCGCTTCAAGACCGAATTGCAAGATGTTAGCCATGGTAGCCACATGTAGATTTGGTTGGATGCATTCCTAAAGTTGTTGGCATCTTATCCATCCACATGCGTGAAGCGTCACTATCCCTCCTTCTAGCTGTAAGATGGTTTTCAACCTCGAAGAATTGGTCATTGCAGCCCTGTTATTCGAGAAGTCGTGGCCCATGGTTATTTATGACGCAAACAAGTAGCACTGCCACTGAGTTTCAAGATCATTTTGAGGTGCAAAGGACATTTGCAAGTTTATGGTGATACCAGCCTTTAAGCAAGGCCAATCTGAGGAGCGCCGTCATTTTTGTTCCCAAGGTTCCATATGCCTTTTAAGCTAAAAGTGCCACCGTAGTGTACTTGCACATCGGTGTTTGTGTCACTAAGTCCAAATCTAAGCCTGTGTGATTGTTTCAGGTCTGCTTTGCTGATTTCGCATACAGATCACAAAGCCTTTTGCAAGGGCTATAAGGTGGGCATTTCCCGATGCTCAGATACTCCGTAGCTCAGCAGATTTGCAGGGTTCCAAACTGGAGGCTTGGGTTGACTTGGACAAATATAGACAGCGTCCTCAGTGGCGGGGTTGTAGTTGCCAGGCAGATTATTTCATTATATTTCATTTCGGAGATCAAAGATAGCAAAGATATCCAGTATCCAATATGTATACATTGTGTGGAGTACCCAACTATTTACAAGGGTCAGTTATTCTTTTTTCAGAGCATCAACACTAGCATACCTGGTCTCAATCCTTTTTTTCGGCAACAATTGGGACGCTTTCCAATTGTTTGCGATCACCACCCTTTGCTACTCGAAGATACACTAAACCCTAGGGAGAGGATCCCATTCTTGGTCGAAAACGACGGATTCTGTACATTCCTCAAAAACCGTACCGATTCCCATCACGAGTTGCAACGATTCCGGGCATGGAACCTCTGCCATGCGGTCAGGTGCGCTCCATTGGCGACCTCAATCAGCTGTCGCAAGTGGGTCGAGGTCGGAAAGACTTCGTGGGGGAGCTCGGTGTGACGGGAGCATCAGCTAGAACTCAGAACTCGCCCAGCTGTTCGAAGTTCATCTCCAGCAAAATCCCAGAATTGATCCTGTTCTGCTCCGTGCTCTCTTTCTCGCCTTCTGCTCGTGTCAGCGGCGCTCGCCGCTCGGCATTGCTCGGTCAGGTTTTGGCCTGTGAGTTTCGGCAGGAGACCAAGATCGCGGAGATCGTCGCCAAGGTCTGGGGACGATCAGAGACGAGGTGGCAGGTGGTGACTTTGTGCATACCTTAGCTGTAACATCTGCAATATGTTGTTCTTGTGGAAGTTGCTGTAGACTCCCTGTGGAGTTTTGAGTCTGGGCTTGTCTAGACTAGACCGTCTTGTTTATTTTTGTTATTGATTTACAGAGTTTTGGACACCCTGCCATTCATGTGGTTAGATTGAGAAGGCTGCCCTGTGTTTTCGAGCATTTGCAGGTCTTGACTCTTGTTTCTCTCCAGGGGCTAGAGATGTTGGTTTTATCATGTTTTGTGTGAATGTCCATTGTTTACTTCACAGTGCAATTTCATCAACTGCAACACCTTTTCAGGATGTGACATGTCTTTGCATATCCAGACATCCTCGCTCCTGCAGACCAGGTTCCTCACTCCTGCGGACCCCTTCTCCCGCGGACTCGACTCGCAGGTGAAAGAGAGGATGGCGGCCGGTCGGCAAGTGAAGGCTGGGGGGGCCTGACGAGGGCGAGGGCCTTACGAGGCTGTCCACATGGCCAGCCATGGCCGTCAAGAAGGGAGGAACCAGCGTCAGAACTGCGAGACGCCTTCGACGCGAAAGACGGTGAACTTGTGAAGCCTCCTAAAGCCTCGAATGAACTGTTGATTTTCCTCGCTATCCCACAATGGCCCAGCTAAAGAAAGAATATGAAAGAGTCTTCATCCGCACATATCGCCAAAACTGACAAACATCTACTCACAACCTCCTGCACTCCCTACTCAAAAGTTTGATATGGTTTGATGGTCCAAAACTGGGAAAGACACACCTGAATGCTTCCAAAACAACTCAGGCTGGACATCTCCGGGCCACCAGTCCGACAGCCTGGGGCTGCTGTTCAGGTGATTTGCATCGCTGGGCCCACCTCATCTGGAAAGACCACCTTCGCTACCAAGCTTTGCATGGGCCCTGATGGGCAAGGAGAGGAGGGCGAGACCTGATGGGAGGGGATGGGCAAAGGAGGTGTTTTTAAGGCAAACTTCCCCAGTGCAATGCCGGCCTGGAATTCTGTGGTAGCCTCTTTCAAGAGTTTCTTTATCTCTTTGGAGCTTTTCAGACCTCACAGTTAGACTCCAAGGCATGTACCTGCAGAACAATGGCTTTGCTGCCAAGCCACTGACGGCTCGAGCCTTTGGCCATCGATCGGGAAAGATTCGCTTGCTTGCGATCGAGAAAGGATCCGATCCAGGAGTCCCTCCCCGAGCCCATTCTGTGGATTTTCTGGAGCGTTACATTGGAAAACCACATCCATTTGTAGAGAGAGGAAAAAGAGTCTTTCCAGGGCACCTTATGCTCCATGTGTGCCGTTTTCATCCATTTTCCATGGTTCCATACAGGGAGTGCAAGTTTCAGAACTGAACAGCCCAGTCGGACGTCCGACTCCAAACTCGCTCGCTCGCTCGCTCTCTAAAGTCGCTGAAGAGGAAGCCAGACTGAAGATCGAGACTTAATCACCAGACTTCATCCGACAACACTTGGCCTCAAGATCTCCTATTTGTTAGGTGTTCAAGAGGATTTCAACTTGATCTCACAAGTATGTAAAACTCGACAGGGTTTTGGATGTATAGACTTGGTCTGGTCTCAAAGGATTATCCCATCCCATTACCAGGGCTGCGCACACCTTTGTTTTTCTTGATTTTTGGGTTTGAAAACCAAAGAAGATCCCATCCTTTTGCTTCAGAACCGGTCCCACACCCTCCCCTCTCCTTAGGAAGGCCCTCGAACAGAGGGACCACTGAAAACGCATGCGTTCCCGCCCTCAGCGGTGAGGTCGACCACTACTATCTTCCCTTGGATCGACAACCCAAGTACCAGGACCCGCGAGCGATGTCGCACCGCAAACGGAGGAAGTCCTCCCCGTTCCGGGTCTGCCGTTTCGGCCCTGTCAGGTCTGATGTCAAGTCCGTTTGTTCTTTCTCAAGGTAGGACGTGTCGAAGTCTGATTCAGCTAGGGCCGCTAGGGCCTCTGGGGTTGGTTCTACTGAAATCTCTCAAAGAACCATGCCATGTGTCTACACTCGTTCTCAGTTCTCCGCCCTGCGCCTGCCCGTTCTCCGCGCACGCGAGGCGCGGAAGCAACGCAGCGACGTGGATTACGACCATATTGAGTCAATGGACGTCCAGCGACTGGGATCCATCGCGGTCGAGTACGGTCGGAATGGGTGTAGGGGTGTGTAGGATGTTGGAGGGGGTTGTAGCGGTTTCTAGGGTGGAACATCTAGACTCTAGACATAGTTTTCTGCTTCAATCAGGGCTCTGGAGGTCATGGGAGGTGCAGCCCAATGAGATGCTGGAGGTGCAGCGTATGGCCTTGGTGGACGACCTCAAGCGAAAAGTCTTAGAAGAGGTGAATGGTATGGAGGGGCACTGTAGGTATTTGGAGGTATGGAGAGGACACATTGGTCCTTAAGTAGATTCAAACATGCTGTTGTCATGTGCAACGTACAAGGGGCAGGCCTTTAGGTTGGGCTTGTTTGGGCCATGAACAGAATGGTGAAAAGCATGGATGCCAGTTCAACCGCACGACTTCACCCGGTGGAGAAAAATCACGGTGTCCAGGTGTTAGGACTGGACGTCCGGACCTTGATCCATCTTCAAAAACTGACCCCACAGCTGCATGTGTGGGATGGGAAGAAATACTGCATGCTTTCACCCGAAACAACGGATCTCTTTTCACCCTTCAACGGATGTTGCTTTCTTATGCTTTCTTGCCAGACCACACCTGGCATGCGACTCGGCAGCACGGCGTGTGAATCACGCACACGATGTCACGGGGTTGTATGTCTTGGGCCATGAGGCTCATTTGCGAGCACCTCAATGCCGCGAGCTAAGAGTTCAAGGGGATGATCTTTTGGGCTGAACAGCTTAGCAAAGACATCACAGTTGTGAGCGGACCAATAACATTGTTTGCAACTTCACTCGCTTTGAACGGGTGCTTGTAGATTCGGTTGGGCCTCACTCAACGTCCACAGAAGCATAGTCACATGCTGTATGAATCCTTGGAAAAAAACACGTGCCAAAGCCAAGACGACCCGAGGATTCAACTCCGGCTTAGCATCCTTTCCTTCCGTGGGAAATGAATCTTCATATGAATCGTTCGAAGGTGAGACTGTGCTTTCTCACTGAGGCTCTGATTGTGGGAGAGTCGGTGATGACCCCCGTCGGGAACTCACCTCACTCGCTCGGAACCATTTCCATGTGAAGATGACAAGCTGTTGACAGGGGCCTAAAGAATTAGGGCAGGGCCTTTAGGGCAGAAGGTTCCATCGAGTGAACCGGACATATGGTCCACCAGTTTGCATCCTGTTTTTTTCCCTGTGCAACCCAAACAAATGCGTGCTGGGTCAAGACATCGAATCTTGGGGTGTTGTGAAATCCAATGTACCTCGGGTTTCTCTAAAACACTTTCTGTTTTTCCCTTCCTAACCCCCAACGTACTAAACCCATATATTTGACCCATGCTAAACCCGTACTTTAGTACACATTTGGAACACCTTGGGGTTCCTTTAGAAGCCCTAGGTCTTCCGGCCTGACCCTAGAACATGGGTATGCAGGGTGCGGACGTGTGTTTTGTTGTGACATCATGTTCTTCTTTTCAAAATCAAGGGCAAGCTCTGGTATTTGGCCAGAGCTTGGGGTTGGATTTTTGGAAGATCCGTGGACTTGACTCAGCGCCAAGGTCTACAACATGAAGACTGGATATCGAGATGGGTGAGCCTCTTGCTGTTTCTTCCATTTCTTCTCATAGCCGCCATAGCCCATTCCCTGGCCCTCGCCAGGGACGGCCACAAGTTTGATGCGCTGCCGGCCAACGGGACTGGTGCATTGTTCGGCGTGGTCTCGCAGGTAAACACTGGATACTCCCGCAGTTGAAATAGCTGGGTTCGGGCAATCAAAGATCCACCAAGCTGTTTGGGTGGATCCTAGGTGGATCAGCCAAGCCCTTCTGCCAAGCCTGAGTATGTTGTGACCAACTGACAGCTTCTTTCCAGGTTTCTAGATGTTTTGTGGATATAATATGATATAGAATCTGGGACATTGCAAATTCAATTTACTGACCCAGCTGATTTCTCTTGTTTAGTAACTATTGAGTACCGCATACAGGTTGTCCCTTTTGTGATCCTTTTTTGATCTTCTTTGGAATCTATAGAAAACTAAACCAACATTCTTGACACGCAATTTCGGATGCTGTCCTATATTTTAAGGAACACTGTAGCCTGCAATTGGACTCAGTTTTGCGCCTGCGCTCCTCTCTTCTGTGGAATTTCTACTAATCTGTGCGAGGATTCTGGTCATAGAGGGCATCCATGCCCTGAATCCCATGTACACAGAGGCGGAATGGGGCTGGCGCGAGCGAACACGAGACTAACCGAAAAGAGGCTTTCAGTCATAGTCTCTTCATAGCATTGGCTCCATAGCATAAGGGACTCTACACATCATCAGTTTGTCATTCTGAAGATGATTTAGTTTGATGGTGCAGTTTCCAGCTTGGCCTGTATCAACTGATCAGACTCGACCAAGGCTTCGCTTTTCAGACCAAGGGAGACGCGCTTCGTTTTCGCCCATGAACAACGCCACAAGCGAACTGTGTTTGTCCGATCGATCGGAATCGGCTCCTGCCTTCGATCGCTCCGAATCGAAGGCGGTGGACGCGAACAAGGTCTTTCGGATCTTCATTTCGCCCTTGACAGCCCTGCAGGCGGGGAAGTGGAGCGGGCCCTACAGGTGGTGGGCCTGGTGGGCCTTTTCGTGTGGTAGACGATGTTGGACGATCGTGGACGCGAAGAAGCCTTTCCCGCTCTGGATCTCCGCCTGCAGAGAGGCTGAGTGATCAAGGGGACACATTCTTTTCGGAAAGGCCTGCTGGTTGCGGCTAGCTGGTGGAGGTAGATACGGAAGCTCTTCTGCCGCAGACCAAAATGGTCAGCACCTCTTGTTATCTTCACAGTCTGAAAAAATCATCTTAGTACATCTTAGTACCCAACTGTGATTGGGAAGAGCTGCCACAACCAACCTAGCAGCCTGACCTGCTGTGATTCTCTCTCCATCCAACGGCCCTCAGTTGGACGATAACAACTGCGCAGGGAGCCTCAGGGAGCCGAAGAGGGAGCGATCGCGGGGATGGTGACGACCAAGCATGATCAATGGCTCGGATGCAACAGAATGACTCGACTCGAACGGCTTTTATCATCTTTTAATATCAAATCATATCAGCCGTTTGAGTCGAGTCATATCAAATCATTTTAAATGCATATCAAATCTCAACCGCTCGAATGACTCAAATGACTCGAATAACCGTACGACTTTGCGGCATGCAATTGGGCTATGGAGGGAAGGTTAGAGATCTCGACTTCATTCCTTAGGCCTGGAGTGGGTGTGCATGGAAAGGCTTCGAGCCGAGAACCTTTCGGCCTGAAGCCATCAAATGCCATAAATATGATTTGGGCAGAACCTTAATCCGTCGAAAAATCCTTTTCCTTAGCCCCTAAATATCCGGTTTTGGAGGCCTTATCGAGCCGAAGAGCACCTCAACAGATCGAAACACAGCCACCAAAACACGTCGTTTCTGCATGTCTTTACCGCAAACGGATTCTCGTGATGCTCGTGCCGTGACAGGTGAAGACCACGGATCATCGCCTGCTACGGCGTATGTGCCGTGATTATCTCTTCCGGGGGAACTCAGCAGTCACTTGGCTCCAGCTGCAGGAGGATATATGCCCAGACAGTTCCCCAAGGCCCCACGGCCTGGAATGCGTTGATTTTGGGTGAGTGTGGCTGAGAAACATTGATGTTGAAAGGAGACTGTAAGTCTATTATCTTAAGGATCAAGGTTCAAGGAATTTCAAGGACACATGTATCAAACAACATGAGGACGTCTTTTGGGGAGTGGCCAGAATCCGTATTCTGTCGCGTTTCCTCAAGACTTGTAAGGCCATTCTTTGGTTTGATGTGCTTGTTCTTTTTGATTGGTATCACTATCACACACACACATCCACCCCCATTTGTATATAGGAAAAGCTTGGTGCCTCGAAGCCACCTCGAAGTTGCATCCGTGAAACTCCCATGGTTATGGATGAACGTTCTCAGCACATCTTTCTGTGCTCAGGCGACAACTCTGCGCATGTGGGACAACGTCAGAAAGGGAGAGGTGGGACAGCGCTCACCACCCTGTGAACCATCGGTGAACCATCGGTGAACTTGTTATGAGTTGTTATATTGTTTCTAATAGCTGCTTGTTCCTAGTAGCATGGCACCTGTTACTACTAGTAAGGCACTTGTTCCTAGTAGCTTATTGTTTCCAATAGCTGCTTGTTACTAGTAGTAAGGCACTTGTTACTAGAAGCGATGCACTTGTTACTAGTAGCTGCAAAACATCGGCAGAACTTTCACGCTTTTCACGCGTTTCACTTGTTATGAGTGGAGCAATGAAGCAACACGGTGAGGGGAGAATTTGTAGGCCAAAGAGGGATCCCCTCCGACGAAGTGGAGTGCCCCCCCTGAGGAAAATCAGGGGGTGTCGTTGCAACATAGTGAGAGCACGTGGAAAACGTACTAGTAGCTTCTTGTTATATACATCTTGTTACTAGTAGCTTCTAGCTACTAATAGCGATGCCCTTGTTACTAATAGCGACGCACCTGTTACTAATGGGGTGTTTTGCGTTGCGAGGCCCTGAGGCGACGCCTCTCACGCTAGTTTTGGTGAAAAAAACAATCGCAAATCCAACAACCTTGGTTTGGTGCCACATAGACATGACGGTTTCTTCTTGCGATGGAAGGATGGCAGGTAAAATGTGGGAAAGAGGTTGGGTTTTCATTCACGATTCAGTGCCAACAACCACATGCTTCGAGGAAGAGAGAACTTCTTCAACTCGGTTTTTGAACCAAGTTCCTGTGACGCTTTTCGATTGTGGCTTGCTTGAACTGCTTTCTAACTCTGAATGCCATGTGGCTGGCTCAAAGCCTTGTATGCTTTGGGATTTGGCTCCACTTGCACCTGAGCTCAGCTCCTTTGGTTCCCCCACTCTCCCCTCAGGGAGGTCCAGGTTCGCATCCCTCTTCACGCCTTGCGGCGTATCTATATGAGCGCCGGGGCCGGCTTACTCATTTTGATTGAGGTCACCCGTGCTACCGCGCGTGCTCTGAGGGGCCTTGCCGAGTCCCTTGAGGCTGCTGCCAACCGGGCTGAGGGCATCTCAGCTGGATCCTTCACTGGGCCACTTGCTGCTCCCACTGAGCCTTCTGAGGCCTCTACTTGGGACGTCGTCCCTCCGCTGCCTGCCACTCCTGAGAGGAGAACTACATCCTGGGCACAGGGGTCTCCGGGCTCCAACTCTTCTGCCTACGACGACGTGGCCAGGAGCATTCCTGATCTTCCGGAGGCTTGCATTGAGCTTTGCAATCGTCTCTCAGGTACTCCTTCTTCCGTGCCCGAGCTCTACGAGCCTGGAACGCTGGCTGTTGGGCAGGAGCAGTTTCGGAAGGCCGTATCCGAAAGCCAAGACCTACACCACATCTTGGACTTCAGAACCATTTCTACATCATCCTGCGAGCCAGAGGACTTGATCTTCCCACAGTTGTTACATCGGTAGGAGACTATCAGAGGCTGTGCCCCTTCGACGACTACTCGGTCAGCCACGCCTTCCCTCAATCTCAGAGGCCAAGGTTTACTGCCGAGGAGCTGGAGTTGTGTTTCCTGAGTGAAGAGGATGGCGGTTCCACAGCACATCAAGGGGACTCAGCCACCTCTTAGTTGAGAACGTCGAAGAAGGGGAGCTCCTACCTGGTGCCTCCTCTTCTGACCTCTCGCTGCACAAGGACACTTTTTGAGGGCATCAACTATGACACTGCCTGTTCCGGGGACTCGGCCAGTTCCTGCCGCAGTGAAGCTCCTGATGCCTCTCGCCGACCAAAGATCTCTGGAGAGACTGCTGTTGGCGCTATCAAACGGTTTGTGGGACCGCTTGCAGACCTATTCTTTTTGGACATGGGCATCTTCGCTATGCTCACAAGTTTTGAGGACGAGGACCCCCTTTGCGGCTTTTGTCAGATCCACCTTGCATGCTACAAGTTTATGCGCTCACCCGCAACTTCCATGGCTTTGTTCCCGCTTCCGATTCCCAGGCTGAAGATCTTCGAGTCCCGAGGAGGTGGACAGAGGGAGAGAAGAAGGAGGGCAATGGATCAGGCTTTCCACGTCTCAGTGATGGCCTTGAACTACTGGCACTCCGATGGGAAGTTCATCCCCCTTGACTCGATAGCCACGATCCCAAATGATGCTCAGCGAAGGGCCTTGGACAACTTGCGGAGACTCTTCAAAGCCTTTGCTAGCTCTCCGCAACCTTTCAATGTCCCAGCGAGTGGCCGAAGAACCACCTCCCTCATCTTCTTCCTGACCGACCTCTCTGAGTTCGCTACATGGGAGGGCGGCGGAGGAGATGCTTATACCAAAACTTTTCCAGGAGACCCGAACGGCTCGCAGGGAAAGATCGGAGTCCCTCGAGATGTTGAAAGGGCCGAGGAGCTTCGTCCATATCGAGCGCTTGATCCTTCCAGGCTGAAATTGTTTGGCCAGGCTTCTTGGGACATTGAGCCCTACCTCTCCGACCACCTATGGATGGCCTTTGTCGAACCGGCTAGCCTGGTATGGACTACTTCTTTGAACAAGGAGAAGTACAAGAGTGTTCTTGACCTTGGTCTTCTGGGGGACGTGAATGGCCTCCTGCAGTTGAAACAAGTGTCGGAAGAGTGCCAGGTGAAAGATCCTGCTATGAGATTCTTCAATGCCTACAAGAACCAGGAAATCGATCGAATGATCGGGGACAGACGTTCCTGGAACTACAGAGAGGGTCGACTAGCAGGAGTCTCGTCAGGTCTTCCTACACCACAGTGCCTCTTCGACCTTGAGATCGACCCCTACAAGCAACGCCTGTCGATCTGCGCTGGCGACCGCAAGGACTTTTACCACCAGATCCATGTCACTCAGTCCCGGGCCTTCTCAAACTGTCTCTGGCCTCTGCTGGATCTAGCCGACCTCAAGGGTACTAAAGCATTTCAAACCTATGCCCTGTCATCGCAGAAGGCCAAGAGATATTTACGAGACCGTGATGGTGATCTGCTCAGCGAGCTCCCCCGCAGGAAGAAGGGGCTCTTGCGAGAGAAGGTTCAAGCTTGCTTTGGCTACGGAGGGCCACCGGAACTTCCTGATCTCGGAGGGCATTATCTCGTTCCTCCGAGCTGCGTTCCGATGACTACTTCTTTGGGGAGGACCTCGTGACTGGTCTGGTGATCGATGACTTCGACGCTGTATCAATTGAGGACGCAGGCCTTCAGCCTTACAAGCGAGACGACTATCCAACCACTGGAACTGCCTCGAGGGCTGTCGAGAAGATTTTGCAAGGAGGAAGGGCCTATGATGCTGCAGGGCTATTGGGCTCTCCTCACAAGGACGTATTGCATTCAGACAATGCCAGAATCATGGGAGCTGAAGTTGACTCCTCGTCTTCCACACGGGCATTGCGGCTCACGACCGTTGCTGCACCGGCTAGGAAGCGACTGTCACTGGCCTACATCTCCTTGGAGCTATCTCAGTTGAGCTTCACGCCAGATGCCCTCATTGCTTGCCTGGTTGGAGGATGGGTCAACGCTTTACTCTACCGGAGGCCGATGATGTCTTTGCTACAGAATGTATGTGAGGTCCCGATGTCAAGCACGGATCAGGAACAGCCAACTCTGATCCCCCCTGACGAGAAAGGCCGCTGACGAGTTGGTCCTTTTATCAACTCTTTGCCCCTACATGGTCACTGACCTGGCGGCTGAAATCATAGACACCTGCTACTCCACCGCCTCCTCAGAGGCCAAGGGAGCCATAGTTTCCACAAGCGTACCCAGAAGTCTTGCTCGAGCGCTTTACCGAACGGGCAGGAGGAAATCCAGCTATAGCTACAACCGGATGCTGTCTCGGCACCAAGCGATTCTGAGAAAGATAGACTGGCCCTATGAGGAGAAGGAAGATGAGGCAGGCCTTATTGATGAGGATCCTACTCCTGAAAGACCAAGGGCTTTCAGATTCCACTTCATTGACATCTGTGGAGGAGCTGGGAAAGTCGCAAAGGCTCTAGCTAGCTGAGGATGGGTCGTAGGCCCCGTCTTGGATCTCAGCTTCTCGCCTCACTACGACTTGTCCTCCTTGGACGTTCTCCGATGGATCTACCACCTCATCGAAGCGGGTCAGCTTGACTCCTTCATGGTTGCTCCGCCACGCACAACGTTCTCTCCTGCGCAGCATCCGCCTCCAGGAATTGCACCTGCCCAAGAGGCTATAGAGCCTACAGAGCCCAAGACGCTACTGATGAACCTGGCGGCCGTCCTGAATGTCCCTGGACTCTTGGAACAGCCTCGAAAGTCGAAAATGAGAAAGCTACTTGAATGGCTCTACCTCGTGCTCAATGGACTGGCCTCCGAAACATGGACGGCTTCTTGTGGCTACGGTTCCCCACACCTCCACCGACCTTGCAACAGGGGCCACAAACATATTCCTATCGAGGGAAAATGGGCAAAGCCATCAGCCACCTACACCTCAGATGCCCTCCATAGGAAGCTGATGACTTCTGCGTCCAACCTCGAGACTTCAGGACTGGAGAGCCCTATTGTCAATGACGTCCTCCTCTCGTCTACATGGAAGCTGGAGCAAGTATGGACTTGGGAGAAGCCGCTCCACATCAACATCTCCACATCAACATCCAAGAGGCACTTGCTGCAGAAAAGTTCTACAAGCAGTTAGCATCACCCTCCCATGGGCTTCCAAAGGCTTTGAGCAAAGCAGGCTCAACGTTGGTTGCAGGATGCTTGTACGTGTCGCATCATTTTGGGCCCAGTCGGTTGCTGCCTGCTGACCACCCTACCAGGGACAACGATTTTCCTACGCCCACTCGGAGCTTCTTGAGCCCTACAGCAAGTATGACCGAGCTTCTACACTTAGCAAAGGTGTCTGGTCTGAGCCGCTGGGCCTCGAACTGGGCGCGACTCTTCCTCATGGTCTACGGTTGCTCCAGAGACTGGACTTTGGGAAGCCACTCCTGGAGATACGCCCATGTCAACTTCAAGCGCTACCCTTTCCGAGCCTGACGTTCGACGCTACTCTTGGCTTTCCCGGCGAAGGACCTGGTCTTGGGTCCGTGCTGAGCTTCCCCGATTTCGGTCTTCAGCTCTCAGATCTTGGCCTCACTTCAGCAGTCGCTCTTTGCCTCCTTGCTCTTGCTTGGATTTTCTGTGGACTTCTGACCTTGTTTTGGGTCCTCCATTCTTGGGGTCACCATGGATTTCAGGCTTGGACTTCCACTCGAAAGACACCTCTTCCTCATGACCGGCGCCTTTCTGCTCCAACCGCTCCGACCTCCAAGGTTTGGTTTTGGGTTTTGGTCTTGATCGGGTCGCACTCCCCCCGAGGTGACCTTGAGCTGCCGTTTGGCCGCCCTGTCCTGGAGGTCACGCAAAAAGCAGAGGGACAAGCTGCTGACGTGCTAATGACCACCACGCCTGATGTTGAGATGGTGAACACCTTGCTCGAGCAGTACGGCCGTGAGCTTTACGGGGCAGGACGCCCTTACAACCACTACTCCGAGACGGTGAACGCCGTCCAAAGCAAAAGACCTCGGCTGAGGAGATGCTGCAACCAGCGTGGGACTTGGCCTACGCATGGCTTCGTCAGGAGCCTCCAAGTCATCATTTGGCTCTTCCATGGCAGGCTCTCCTGTCACTCCTCACATCGGCATGGATGTGGGTATGGAGCAGGGAAGCAGGAGTGATAGAGTCACCCGCATTGGAGAAGTGCTCAGTGCATGTCGTTGACTACTCCATTGACTACGCCCTCCTCCAGATAGCCGAACCGAAGACCAGATATAGATGTGCAAGGCACCAGATTGCCAGGCTGGCAACTCCTCCAGGCGATCGAAGTGGCATTTGCGCACCTGGCACCGGGTCAAAAACTATGGCCGGCTTCCGGCCAGACGATCAGAGACGCTTCCAGAAACTGCTGAAGGCAAACTCGCTGCTGGAGCTGCCAGAGGGCATCTCAAAGGGCGTAGACATGGGCTCTTTGAGGGCTGGCGGGGCCTCATGGCTCCTGATGGCCAGTGAAAATAGCGAGCTGACAAGAAGGAGAGGCCGCTGGATCTCTACGCGCAGGAGGCGTGGGCGGTCCAGTTCCTCCCACGCCTCCCACCGGAAGTCAAGGTGGCGCTTTTTCCGTCGTGGGCTCTCCAACTAGCCCGACGGTGGCGCAGAGCAGCCATTCCTGACTCGGCATGGCCTGTTTTGTTTGAGGAAGCAGCGCGCGACTTTGAGCTGAAGTCCTTGAGAGGAAATAGATGGGTGTTGGAGAAGCCGCAGACGCGGCACTGTGCACCAACCAGCTTAGCACGTGAGAAAAAGCCCGCAAGAGCTGAAGAGTTGCTTTCTAACTCTGAATGCCATGTGGCTGGCTCAAAGCCTTGCCCACAAGCCACCCGCCCGCGCGCTTCCTCAAACCGCTCCTAGAAGCCGCAGACGCGGCACTGTGGAGAAAAAGCCCGCAAGAGCTGAAGAGTTACATAGTATATTTAAAGCTGTGAAGATCCCAAAGCCACCAGTTCTTGGAGAGTTACCATTTTCGAGTCACAGGCTTCCACCTGAGTTTAGCTTCAGCCTTAGCCTCAGCCATGCTCCTTCCCGGGTTGGGCACTCTAGAAAAGACTGAGAATGTAGAGGGAGTTTGTTTCTTTTGCCGTAGTGGCCAGCAGCGAGGGCACTTTAAAGGACACTTAATGAGTCAATCTTCAAGTGGTTTCATATGGCCTCCTGTTCATCTTCTCTTTGCTTTCCATACCTTTGACCCGCATGATGAGACAATTTTT